TCACTAGATTGCCGCATATATATATATATATATATATTAATTGTGTTGTATTTTATTTGGGGCAGCTAAAAAAACTTTTGTGTATTACAATTTTAAAAAAAGTTCAGATTGCATCTAAAAAGCTGTCACTACACCTAGCCAAAATTGATGAGAAAATACAGATTTCAATGGTGTTGTGCTGCACCGCCGCCACAAACAGACCCTTAACCATGATAATGTTGGAGCAAGAAATTTTTTATTCATCTAGGCTTGGGATCAATTAAGGCGGTTTTAAAAATTTTGTTTGTTAAAATATTAATATAAAAATAATAGAAATATATTAAAAAAATTACAAAAATATGCCAAAAATTGATAAATATGCAAATAACATAAAAAGTTAGCAAAATAGAAGGGCTACATATGATTATTCCTTTTGAGTTTTCATATGTTGAAAGTATTGTACAATGAATTCATTATAAACACTAGTAATCATGTCTTCTTTATAATATGTAATTAGATATTCATTTATCATACAAAAATATTTCAATATTTATGTCACTAAATTTATTATTAAGTTCTTGAAATTACAAATTTATCAAAGAGTGAAATAACTGCGCTTAATAATTAGGACTGTCAATTTGGCTCGTTGTTCTCGAACAGCTCATGTTCTGCTCGTTAAACAGCTACTGTTTTACTTGTTCATTAATTCAACAAGTCGAACACAAATAAATTTTGAAAGCTCGAAATGTAAACAAACTGAACACGAAAAAAAAATTATTTGCTCGTGTTTATCTTAAATTGACTCGAAAATAAATAAATAAATAAATATATACATAATAAATATTCATAAAATTAAATATTATAAATTATAATTAATTAATTTTTATACAAATAATTTTTTTTAAAACTATTATTTTAATTTTGTTTAAAAAATTAATTACTGAGTCAATTTCGAGCTAAACACGAACATGAATAAGTTTTTTGAGCAGAACACGAACACACTGTTCAGATGTCATTTCTAGCACGAGTCAATTTCAAACACAATCCGAACACGAGCCCAACCTGAGCTAACTCAAACTCGCTCATTTACAGCCCTATTGATAATAATATGAATTTGTAATTATCTGAACATATCTCTGAGTTCTAACTGTTAAACATGTAAATACATAAGAATTGAGTGGCATGCACGTAAATCAATCTAATATTCAAGAAAAAAAAAATTAATTAGAAAATGATAGGATGATGGCAATTATGCATATTTTTTACAAATTCCACCCTCACAAACTAATGTATTGCAACGCCAACCCTAGACCAAAATAAGCAGCAGTAAATTTTCATAAACAATAAGCACAGCATCATTTGCCATAAAAGTACATAGTTTTTCTTCAAATTACATAAACATAGAAATTTCACAAATAATAACTTCCCAGAAATTACACTTTAATCCTTCTTCTTGGCCTTGAGATTTCCCTTTGGAATTTTGCTTAAAACCCCCTGGTCTAGCTTGCGATACTGCTGCTGCAGCTGGCCAAGCAGATTGGATATGAAGTCATCAACTTGGTCTTCGTACCTCTCATACAGCACAGGGACAGTGTGCACAGCAACAAAACCTGAATCACCAAAGATTACATTTACATACATACCACCAATTCCTATGTATTTACATTATCTGAAACGCAAAAGTCGTATCTTTTTTACATTTATACCATCAAAATTTTTCATATTACGTCAAAAATATCAACAATGTAAACCTTTTAAAAAGTGAAATATGCCTTTTTAGATAAGATGGCATGTACATTAAAAATTAAACTTTAGGGGTCAGATATGTGAATATATAGCGATTCATGATAATAAATACATGTATTCTTCATTGCTTGGTATGAAATTCCCAATAGTTATCACAAGCCATGTGTAGAAAACCATTGTTATCGTTTACTATATGGTTTGTTATAAACAGAGTATTATTAGGCCTTGAGGCTTGATACGGCACCAATAAATTTTCATCATTCGGCATAAATTTCGAGGCATGACATAAATCTCGAGGTAATTTTTTGAAAAAGAAACATTCAAACTTCAATTATGGGTCATCCAAAGCTCCGATTTCGGCAAACTTATAGTCAATTTGACCGGCTCGATGGGGCCAACCATATAGAAACTAGTCTAATCCGAGTCAAATCAGATCATGTCATTAAACCACACTTGAAAGATTTCTGGACAAATTTGAAAGGTTAAATGGATGTCAAAATCTGACGAGTTCATAGTCGAATTAAATATCTTAACAAGACGAATCCAACAAGCCTAAGATTGATCAATTCTTACATCATTAAAGCGCTCAAATATCCCTTAAACGCCGTCCAATCAGAGGGTATTCTTTGGACCGTCTGATTAAAATAGTTGGTCTGATTAAAATAGTTGATATTCTTGAATCAAAAGTTTAACTAAATTATTCATTTAGAAGAAGGGGCATCTGATTATGCATTGCTAACAAAGGGTTGATTGAATATTTGTAATAATATCACTTCAAGTTTGTTTTAACAAAAATATTAAAAATAAGGAAAGATTATCACGTCTATTTGAGGTTAATTATAGAAACAAATTAGGGAAAGGTTAGGATTATTGATTATAATAATGTACTTAATTAATTATAGTAATTTTTAAATGCTTTTATGTGCAATGCCTTTGATGTATGATTTATTTAAATTATTTTGAAGCTAGAGTTTGTGGAACACCATGCATTGGATCAAGGATAATCAATGCCATGGTCTCTAATCGGCAAGTGATTGATTAAAGGATAATTGTATTGTTCCTAATTAAGGATGTATTCCTTAAGATTTGCTTATATGCTTCAATTGTTGCTAATATATAAAAAAAATTTCTCAATTTACTAAGACAATTTCATATCTTCATATTGATATGATGTGATAGTTAGCTTTCTGATTTTACTTGCTATACAAATTTCTGAATATTTATGTAAATCACATTAACTGTTAAAAAATACCTACTATTCATACAATCATGAAATATGTTGATGTGTTACAGGTTTTTATCATAATAATGACAGTCTTCGTTGTAGAATCTTAAATGTAATATAAATTTACGTAATGTATGCTTGTGTACATGATGCATCTAATGTCACCAAAACCTTGGATATATTGGCTAGATGGGCTGACTGCTGCACAGAGTGATAACCCTTTTATTCATGCCTCTTTTAATATCGCTCCTATTTATGCGACATGCCTTGTTATTTACACTTTACTCAATGTGTGTGTGTGTATATATATATATGTGTGTGTGTGTGTGTGTGTGTGTGTGTGTGTGTGTTTGTGTGTGCCACTCACTGTGATTCTATGGCTGACATCTGCATTAGCAATTCTAAGTCCCCTAGGGTCACCAGTTCGAGCTTGCCCGAGTGCATTTGTCTTGTAGCGTGGGATCAAGTGGTTAGACACATGAGGGTGGCTGGGTGCTTGTATCATAGCCTCCAACCATCCTTCTTTTAAAAAACAAATGTATATATATATGTAAAATAATAATAATATAATAAAAATTTTTGAATAGAAAAATAAGCATAATAAAATAATGGAAATTTAATGCTTAGTCAATAATAAAAAGTTAATAGTTTACTTAAAATAATAAATAAATTAAATTTTATATCATGTTTATGCTAGGTTTTTACTTGTTGTTGTACAATAAGCATTATTAAATGATTCTTATCTTTGAAAATCTCTATAATATCTATAACTGTTACAGTACAACATCCCCTTTTACTCATGTCTCTCTTGATATTCACAAATTATTAGTTAAGCAACATCCAGAGATAATTCATAGATTCAAACTTCAAGCATATTCTTAAAGAGTTGATTTCAACATTGACTTATTAGAAAAGTTATTATATTTATATTTATATTAACCAACATTGACTTATTTATTTAAATTATATTTATATTTCAATGAAAAAATTAGTACATGTTATTGAATTTAAATGAGGTAATGATCTTCTTGGTAAACAAATATTACTGAGAATTTATATATTTTCTCTTGGAATTATTTCATAATTTTTAGTCGGCACCCGACTAGTAGGATTTTGTGATTCCTTCTAGGCTCTGAATTGCCGGATGTGACAGTATGCTGGAACTTCTCACAAATGCGGGTTAAGGGTAAGTTGTCAATTTAAATAATGAATAAATAGGAAAAACTAGAATATAAATTGCAATAGGACAATAAGTTCTATAAAAGCATGTTTATTTCATAATTGGCACCGCAATAAGACCAAAAATAATGGATGGAGAAAGATAATTCATAATTTGACCTGAAACAACTAATGCAAGGCTATGCTTTTAATTAAGATGATGAAAAAATTTCAAACATCTCTTAACAACAAGCCTTTATCCCACAAATTAGGGCCGGCTAGATGAATCCTTTTTCTCCATTATGGTCTATTGAGTGCATGTTTTCACTTAATTCTAATAAATTAAGATCGTTTTTTATACAACATGCCCAAATCTTTTTAGGTCTATCTCTATCTTTCTTAACATAAGCCACATCTAAAAGTATCTATGCTTCTAACAGGGCTATCAGATGGTCGAGATTTAATGTGACCAGACTATCTAAGACGACTCTTTATAATTTTGTCAGCGAACAATCCCTTGAAGTTAAAACAAAAAACATGTGAATTTTTGAATAATTCTTTTTCTCACTGAATACATAGATAATTCACCTATAAATAAGTGAGTACAAGAGATAAAAAAGAAGAAAGAAATCTCCATACAATTAAGTAATTCCTATAATTATGGAATAAATATAAATACCAATAATTAAGGAATTACTCTTTTTATATTATGACTAACTATAACAAGTACTTAAATAGAATTAAAGAAATAATAATGAGCGTAATTCCACACTCCCCCTCAAGGTGGGTTGTACAGATTATACATGCCCAACTTGTTGGTTAGCTCATCAAAACTAAACTTAGGGAGAGCCTTGGTGAGAATGTCTGCGGTTTGGTCTCTAGAAAGAGTATAGATCAATTCAATGATTCCATTGTCCACTTTCTCTGAAATGAAGTTCCGATCAATCTCAATGTGTTTCGTTCTATCATGATGAACAAGATTATTTGCGATACTGATTGCAGCTTGATTGTCACAGAACATCTTGATAGAATTTTCTCTCATAATTCCAAGCTCCTTGAGAAATTTTTTGATCAACATTCCTTCACAGATAACAAGCGCTAGTGCTCTGTATTCTGCTTCTGCACTACTCCGAGATACCACCGATTGCTTCTTGCTTCTCCATGTCACTAGATTATCGTCGGGTGGATATATCTCCTGCCCAGTCTGCATCAGTAAATACTTCTACCTTTTGACTATCATTCCTTTTGAATAATAATCCTTTCCCAGGTGTCATCTTTAAGTATCTTAAGATACGGTTGACAGCTCCCATATGTTCCTCAGTAGGACAGTTCATGAATTGACTTACTATACTTACTGAAAAACTTCTGTCTGGTCTGGTGTGGGATAAGTAAATAAGTCTTCCAACAAGCCGCTGATATCGTCATTTATCAACAGGTAAACTATCATTCTCCATTCCAATCTTTTTATATGGATCTATTGGAGTATCTATTGGTTTGCATCCAAGCATACCAGTTTCTTTCAATAGGTCCAATGTATACTTCCTTTGAGTTATAACTATCCCCATTTTGGATCTTGCAACTTCCGTTCCCAAGAAGAACTTCAAGTCTCCGAGGTCCTTGATTTCGAATTCATGGGCTAGAAACTTCTTCAGCTTTGTCAATTCTTCAGTTTCAGTGTGATCTCCGGTAAGGATGATGTCATCAACATACACAATAAGTACAACAATCTTCTTCTCGGATCTTTTTGTGAACATTGTATGATCAACCTGGCTTTGAGTATAATCACACTTGATTACTGAATTGGTGAATTGGGCAAACCAAGAACGGGGAGATTGTTTGAGACTATACAAAGATTTCTGAAGCTTGCATACTTTGTCACTACGGAAGGACCCTTCAAGACCAGGCGGGAAAAAT